TACTTGCCCGCACCGGAGTTCCATATATAATAATCGATTATGATGGAAAATTATTGTCTAAAATGTTGTCATTATAATCCATTATTGTTGCAAGTTTAGACCACGAAATCGATTATATCGTCATTAAAATTGATTATTTTCGTAAAAAACAATCCATTAAAACCCATTATAATGGATTCTACTCCATTTCAAATCTTTATGATGGATTATAATCCATTTAAAATCAATTATAATTGATTCTAACGGATTGTAATCTCTACATTTTTTTGCACAATCATTTGCAAAACTTGCAACACTTTTGCGTTACTCACGGCCACTGGCAATCTAAACCTACTCGAATTAACCCCCCCCCCCCCATTTTGCCCCCCATCGGCATTTTCCCAAATCCCCTCCCCCCACTCCCCTACGTTTATTCCTACGCCCACCCCCATGTTCACTAAAGGTTATCCCCAACCCCCCCAAGTTTACAGTTTATCCCCCCCCCCCCCCAGTTTGTTTACCATTTTGAACGGGGACGGGTGAGGGAGTATACTCAGTTGTTCAGATTATCCTCCCCCCGCATTTTTTACCCACCTCCAACCCCCCCCCCCTCAACCCGACGTTCAGTAAACGGGGGGGGGGGGGGATGTTGAGGAGGGTTAAACTTGGGGGGGGGGGGGTAAAGAAACCCCCCTCCCCCAAAGTCTACCAATAAATAACCCCATAAAGGGGGGGGGGGGCGAATGGAGGTTGTGGTAAACTGGCAGGGAGGTGGGAAGGGGTAGTAAACGGGGGGGGGGGGGGGGGGGGGGGAGGGTGTAAGCAGGGATGAAAACGAGGGGGGAGGGTAAACTGTGGAGGGGTTTAAACGGGGTATATAAGACAAAAATTATGATAAAAATTGAGAAGTGAAATGTAACATTTAAAACTTTATGAAACCTATTACGTAGCAACTGCACTAAACAGGAAATGCAATAAATTTGAGAAAATTTTGTAAGTTTCATGACTAATCTCTCAAAAAAGTCCATTATAATTGATTATAAAAGGTTATAAGGGATTACATTGTCATTAAAAATATAAGAAATGAAAACATTTTTAATGGATTATAATCGATTATTTTTGTAATTTTACAGATACTGACTAAAAAATGACAATATAATCGATTATTATCCATGGAACTCTACTGCGTGTGGGTCACTGGATGATAATTTGAAACAAGGCTCCTTTTAAATTGTGATCTGTGAATGATATCATAAATCACGTACATTCCTCTTTCAATATATAAACAAAAAAGCGTAATCCACAAGATATTGAGAAAAACTTTGTATAAGATTTGAAAAGTTAGAACAATGACCATAGATTAAATATTTTTAAGCAAAATTCGGACAGGTAGTCAGTAATGCTGCCTCAAGATTGTTTGAGAGAACGATAAGAGACAAACTAGCAACAAATCAAGAAAATTTGAACGAACAAGAGGCGATATTTGTATAGAAATGTCAACTATGTTTGTCATACAGAAAGAGGGAATGCGAGTCAGGTCGTTGTCGGTAGGGTAAGAAACGAAACTATGGCAGTAAAAGTGATCCGCAAACAATTGTTCGTCTGATCAACCGGCCTGACGCAAGCTTGTAAATCTGTTGTGATTTCAATATAGAGAATCCTAATATAGCGCCGTTTACAAGCCTCTTTTGTCAGCACTTTGCCAAACGAGGGAGAGCTTGTTATATAAAGAAGCATCAGTAAACTATACGTGTTTTCATTTTCGCTTTTATTTGATGCGCGCACACCATTTTTACCAGGTTTGAATAACCGATTAAACATTACTCTAAATCGAAGCAGATTTCAATTTTTTTAAATTCATTGCACCCATTTTAATTGGCAAAAACTTAGAAAGAGGGTTTTCTAAGTTATCGCATATTACTTTGGCAGAAAAATTAAGGAACATTTTAAATGAAAATATTTAAATTTAGTAGATATATGCTTATTAGCGAAAAATATAGTCCTTCTTGTTTTTGGAAACAGTGGACAACCTGAAAAAATACGGTTGGGTATGAGCTGTTCTGAAACAAATTATTCATATTCCAATGTCTAGCCTCCCCCCTTCAGTCTAATTACAAACTTGCACAAAACATATCTAGATCAAAAAATAGATTGATAGAAAGCAATTTATGATGACCGAAAAATAAGAAAAACATTTTTCTTTCTGATTGAAAATAGTAACTTTGTGCGATTTATTTGAAAAACCTGTTAATTATGCAATCACCTTGAGCTCAATTAATTAATTCAAACCAGAAAATATTGATGAGATTTTTAGAGCATGGACAGTAAAAAAATATATACTATTTTAAAAAATGTATATTACGTGAGCACATTCCTTTTGCCGATTGGGAAAACAAACTGAGTCAGTAAGTTTTCTTTTTTGCCAACTAGGGGAACCATTTATGACCTCACCGAATCAAATTCGTGGGTTCATATTTGGCTATACGTCTTTATTACTCTTTCTTTTTCGTTGCGCGCAACTGATTTCTACCAACTTTAGAAAAAAGTTGAAAAACAAAGCAAAAAAATCGAAACATAGCTCTAAAATTAGTTGCAGTCGTTTTAACTGTTGGAATAGTAATGAAGAGAGCACCTAAGGTATCGCATGTCACCATGGCAGAAAATGTCTTGGAAACTTTGAAAACAGATTTCTAAAGTGTAGTATATAGGATATTTTAATAGCGGAAAATCTTTTTTTGTTTTGTTTTTTGGAACATTATAAAAGAAATGGACAGAAACAATCCGTGTCTATGAATGTTTTTGAAGCAAATACAAAGTTAATGCGCTTTCACTGCCCAAACATAGCTCACAAAATACAATCCTGCCCCAGATTGATCTATACAAAGAATTGAGCTGATAAGCAGCAAACATATGATGAGACAACAAATAACGAATTAAACTTTCCGGTTCGGATGCAAATGTGAGCTTTTTCATCCAAAAAAGAAGAAAAAATGTCTGTTGAGCCAAAAACTTTTGCATTTGAGATTGAGCTATGCAAAGCTGCCCGGTTTTAAGTCCACCGTTAATTATCGCTATTTCTATAGTATCCCATTGATCACTATTTTACAGCACTGATTCAAGTATAATTCAGGGTTTTTTCCATAGCTAAGCTGCGATATTTCAGATCTATTTCAGTAATGATTTCTAGAAAGTCAGTGCTAAAACTTTAACTCATTCTAGTAGCTTTTAAATGACAGTGTGAGTTAATAAACTGAGTTAATGCTTGAAGTGTATCTTAGGCTTCGTGTCGCAGATGTAGCAAACATGTCTACTTAGCTGATAGTTGCGTTGCGGGAACGAACCCCGGTAGTTTACTATTTTGCTCATTTTGAAAGGTTTTTTTTGCTGTTTCATCGCTGAGCATTAGCCAAATTAATCAGCGATAACCTATCGATTACATTTGCTATTGCTGTTGGCGATTGCTGTTTTTCTTTTACTTTTTTATTACTTTTTTATTACTTTTTATACTCTAAGTTTCAAACCTCAAGCCGGTGTTTTAGTGTTGCTTAGAGAATCGAAACCCGATCGAGACAAATTGTTCTGCGAGTTATTAAATAATTTGTTTTAAAAAAACCAACAGCGAATTATTCTTTAATATTGTGAATCAATATTAATTTTTGGCAGATTTTGTTCATTTTTAATCTGGGCGTTTTTTGTGGCCATTATCAGATTAATTTGTTTGCTATTTTGCCAAAGTGCAAAATAAATGTTTGCCTTGTCCATACATTGCTTTGATAGGGACCCGATTATCATTACTATACTTTTTAAATTAATTTCTCGGTTGTTGGTTTATTTAAACCAAACTTTTGTTATCTTTTTGTAATGGCTTTAAAAAAACATAATTTTATAGGTTGATTGAATTTGCATGCAGTTGGAATTAATCAAAATACCAAATCTGGGCAATTACCAAGTTGTAATAATTGAATCAAGCTATATTAAGTTGCAATCATTAATCAGTTTATTTACATTACCTCGAATCGCAATGATGAGGCAACTTCGTCTTACGACATAAATGGCGATTGTTTGTTTGCTAAACGTTTGTGTTTGTTTATTCAAAATTGCTGACAAATATACATTAAATTGTTACTAAGACTGTTTCAAAATCTTGAGGTTACAGCAATCATCATATTCACAAAATCCTGATTAAGAAAACACTTATTTGTTTTTGCAAAACAATCAAAAATCTTTAGAGGAAGTTTGAAACCAATGTTTGATTAACAAGCAGGTAATAATTGTTTACTCGTAACGACAAAAATCTCAAAAATCTACACCCTAAACCTAGAAAACTTTTTCATAACTTTATACGTCATCCATTTTGCCCGACTAGGCCCAAAAATTTTATTGTCATAACCATCACTAAATTGATTATTTGGCCTTTCAGAAAGCCGCTTTTTATTTTATGTTATCATTATTTTGTCGATAACAACATTTTGAGTGTTTTTTGAAAAATCCGCCGCCTTTCCCTCCTCGATACGTCCGTGGGTGCAAGATTGGTACTTTTAGATTGATATTTATCGGGTCATTTAGATTGATACTCGAAACAAGATTTTTGAAAGCTGGGTACTTGAAAGGCGTGTCCCGCCATTTTTTGAGAAGATTTGAACTAAGAAGTTGCACGAATCTATCCGGCCGAAAATAAGATAGCGTGACGAGCAGACGGTGTACCCTATCCGAAATTACTCTATGAGTTAACCACATCGGTCCTAACTCATCTGGTGCGACCATAAGTCTCGAACAAGACCTTAATAGCTTAGAATTAACCAAAAATAGATTAGAATTTAGACAAAACATTTTCAAAATGTTATACGACGACAATTTAATCGAAATGTCTCTACGACTCAATAGATCAGAGCCAATATTCCGAACGATAACAGAACTACCCGGAATCGTAAGAAGACCTCGAACCAGAGACGACATACGACAAAGTAGAAACTTACCATATAGTTATATGATAGTACGGCAAAAGCCAACACAAACTTTTATATTTAGAATTTTATTAGCATTGAATTTAGATTTTCATTTGCAAACATAAAATCTTGAAGTCAATACTCATGATCATTTCAGGCGCTAAACAAAATTATTAATAAACAATAACGATTGATAAAAAGATCTCAGATCGTTTCCCTAAATTCTGCAGTATTATATAAAACATGTTTGGAAAATATTTATTGAAATCAAAACAAAAATTAGTAGCATGACAATAAATTGTTAGTAATCATAAAATCATCAGTTGTCCCAGCTTCATCACCTAAACATAACAGCAATCATAAGCTCACTAATATCATTAAAACACTAAATCTTTTTCTTAAACAAATTTAAACTATTTTAAACTTAAATTCACTTAATTTTAAAATCAGATCATCAAGGCTTATCCTTGGATCTTAATTATTTTTCTATTTCACTAAATTTAAAACTTGATCATCAAGGCCTATCCTTGGATCAAAAAGAACAATTTTGTTCTCCCCCACCCACTTAACAAGTGTCTAACGACCTCAAACGTCGATTCACTATCCAACCCTTCCAAAAAACCCAAGACTAATAGAAATTTTTCAACAAAACTAACCATTCAAATTAGGATAAACAGTGAAGAACTTCGGTTATTCATCCTTCACTTGAACCCTCCTCTTACGAGACCCAGGATAAATCTTAGACTTAGTAAGTTTGAAATAGTATCTAACGAACTACTTGCGTTCTAATTATACCTGAACCTTGTGGATCGATTTACTATTCTCCAAGCCTCGAACACAATCACTACCCCTAAGTAAGATTAAGTAAGTTAACACCTTAGCTTATACTAGCCACGAGAAAGTAAAAAATCATTCTTCGGAATCGATATACTTTTCTCTCCAACCCTGAACAAATAGACCCAGGTTAAGCTAACCAAAAAATCGTAAGGACTAACAGTTTAAGAAAGTAGAAATCATCTAACAACTTTTTGCATCCCTCATCCTAAACCTTATGTCATTCAAAAATCTGGGAAATAAACAAACAATCGTTTTACACAACTGTGAAATAGATAACAAAAAATACGATCTTGTAATCACACCTCATACACAAATAGTTGGATATATTAGAACAAAACGACTAACAATAAAAAGAAAAATAATAAACAAACAAAGACAAATCACACAAAAAAGATTTTCAAAAAATAGAAACGCATTTTCAGAATCAGAAGCCAGCAATTTAGATGAACTTTATAAATTAAAAGAATTAATTGATAAAAATTGTCCCATTCACGATCAATTATATTTTTCCGACTCAGAAACAACTTCAAATTCATCAAAAAGAGGAAAAATAAGATTAAAAAAGCAATATAAACATAAACCAGTACACTTGTATAATTGGAATCAACCAATTAGACACATCGATAGTTATATATTAACAGTCATTAAACAAAAAAATGAGCCACAGCCACACTCAAAGTGACGATAGTCCAGATGACGACGATATTTACCCCTTCCTCGTAGATGCACCCGATAATAGAGGACAGCATGACTTTTGCAAGAATTTACTCCTAAATTTGTTTGAACCCGGAATCAGCCCATGCAAAACAGAATTCCCAGATGTAAAAATTAAAAGGCAAATCATAGAACATTATCTGAAAAATATATGTAATTTAACACAACAATACGGAATCTACACCATAGAATTCAGTACACCAAATCCGAATCAACGCAAATATGTAATTCAAACAGACGATCTTGACTTAGAATTTTCAAAAGTATTCTTAGAATATATTAAAAGCGTACAATATCATAACTCACAAAGAGCAAACTCCATATTTACTAACGAAGTTTTTGCAATAAAATATAGTTATATTTCAATATTAGAAAAAACAGAAATTCCAAATATCTCACCAACTGAGACATCCAAACATACAGAAGTACGAAATCACACTATTTTCAACTTTCCTATATATAATTAAAGAAAATTTCACTAAAGACGAAGTCTCACAACATACAAAACATGACTTACAAAAAATTTTGGCATGGTTTACAATAGATTATTTCACACATAATATAGATTTAATTTCACAAGCAAGAAAAAATTTCAGACCTCAAAATTCAAACGATGATACCGCCATCACAGAACAGTCAGACTACGTTTGGGACCCCGAATGGTCTCATCATGCATTTATAAACATCCCACAATCAATCTCAAGTCAAGCAATAAGTACAATATCTTATCAAAGAGATTATGTAAGAGTAGTACCATTAACCATTGATGCAACACCATTAAACTACAATACATTTTTACCTGATACGCGAAATAACAGTTTAAATTCAACCGTCATACACAATGAAAACCTTAATGGAACTAGGAAACTTACACAACAAGATATTCAAACACCATCACACTTCATAAATGAAGAAATCGTCCAAACAACAACAACTACACAACAAAGTATTTCACCGATACGTCCAAATTTAACAACACCAAAAAATACAAACACTTCGCCAGCACAAGTAACCTTACAATCAACCGTTAAACCTTCGGTTGCTCCAAAATATTCACATATGGTTTATCAAACATATAGACCTATGACAGTACCGTCAAAAACACGAAGAACGTTGACAAGAAACACTTTTGCAGAACACAATTATAATTACGCACATTCATCAAAAACAAACTATCCCCCACGAAAAACTAATAATAATCATGTAAGATCTCGATATTGGGATAACCCAATGAAAACAACCAACTCAGTAAATTTTCAAACTAATTCACATCCTCCACAGGATCGTAGTGAAAATTACCCATTCTTTCAACAAACTAAAAATAAAAAAGCACCTCATCATACGGATTACTTATCCTCTGATGATGATTACTTACAACCAGATATTTTTGCACCATATACTCAAGAATATCGCGGACAAGGAGTGCAAAAACCATATACATATCATAGAATTTTTTCTCCACATCCAACAGATACACAAAATCAACAACCAATACAAATGCAAAACCCAACTAATACACAATCTTTTCAACCAACTCAGCCACAAAACCCAATGATCACACACTCGTATCAACCAACTCAAATGCAAAATGAAATACCACTCCCATATTACCTTCAACAACACGAAATAACAAAAAACCAACTTTCAAATTTTTCACAAATGCCAAATGCCGCAGAATCACTACAAATGACAATGAATCCATACCTTATGGGTGGATCATCAATAACATCAAACAAACCATTAATGGTATTCATAGGAACAGACCCTGAATATTCTGTAGAAGATTATTTAAATGCAGTAACAGCAAATTTAATTTTAAATATAGGACCTGAACCAATTAATACACCACTACATCAAAATTGGATACATCGACGCACAGCGTTGATACAAACAAACTTAGATGGCGCAGCCCAAAAATGGTTTTCAGTATTGCCAATAGAAATAAAATCAAATTGGAAAAGATTTACACAAGAATTTTCAAAAATGTTTGACTCCGAAAGAAATAAACAACACCAAAGAGTTTTATGTAATGAAATTCGTAGATTACCAAATGAAACCATCAAACAATTAGCAGTACGTATCGAAACACTAGTTCGAAAAGCATATTCATTAAATACACATGACTACAAAACACAAAAATGACAGAAATTTTAATGATGACCTTAACACCTCAATTAAGGAAAATAGCAATAAAAAAGAGAGCATCTCATCCTTCCTCAATTCGAGAACCCGATTTAGATTTTCGAAAACTAGTAGACAAACTAGAGCAAGCGGAAATCACAATGAAACTTGAAGAAACAGAAAATCTGAATTTACAATATGTTAACCGAATCGAAACAAACACCACAAATATCAATAACATACAGGAATCAGATACAGACCTCGTTGAAAAAATCACTGAAATACTAAATATTTATGAAAAACATCCAAACTTTAAAGGCAAACCATCTTTCAAAAAATGGTGTAATTATTGCCGACGATACGGACATAGTATTTCTGAATGTAGACAAAAACAACAAGATAACCAAAACAAACCTCAAAAATATAAAGAACCAAATAAATCATTCTATCAATACATGAAGAAAGATCAAAATCTACCAAACAAAAATGTATACAGCAACAACAGTTCAGGAAAACAACTTCCGAACAACACCAATTACACGAGAAATCAATCACCATATAAGTTATAGAGGAAGATCACCAGAACGAAGAAATGCACAGAATTCTTCACAAAATCATTATAATCAACCCAATAGTCGAAATAACT